AGCAACACCCAGTGTGACTGCTGGGTGTGGGACACGGACCTGTTCCTCCCTGGTCACACAGAGCACCCCTGTGGTTGACTCCACCATCACGCTTTGAAATCAGGCTCCAATCACCCAGAGCATTCACTACACTGTGCTTTTCAGTCTTTACTCCTCAAACGCTGCAATGACAGGCAGCAGAGCCTCAGAGCCCCATTTTCTCCCAAATGCTGTAATACTCATAATAATCACAGCAACAACAACAACAATTACAATAACCCTCCATCCTTCACACACCAGACGATGTCGAGTCAGACTCCATTTCCAAACTAAGACATCTCACATGCTATTCTCCCTCCCCTCCAGACTAATAGCTGACAATGTATGCCTTCCACATTAATGATAAGGGTTCAAGGAGAAAGAGACTGCTCTCCCATTTCGCTGACATTACACTCTCCTATGTACCCACCAACATACCCTAAGGCAACAGAACTAGTAATAGGTTCCTCTAACTGCCTCCTGCATCAAATTTGACATCGGGTGCTTTCTTCTTCTTTCCCATCGCTCACCTTATAACTCTGTCATCATCATTGATTTTGACTTAAGGAGAGAAAAAAACCCCAACCCTCTCCCCCTGCTTGTGCAGCATCAGGGTGGTGGAGCACAGCTGCTGCAGGGACTTGGGGCAGGGGAGGCCAAGTGGCTGATTCTGTTTTGCTTGAGTCTCAGTGGTGGATGGATGGAGACATAAAGCCGGGAGCATTTGCTGCACCCAGCTGGCTGGATTTGCAGCCCTGGAACACCATCATGGGCTGAGGGATGCTTCCCAGCTTGCAGGCAGCACCATTCAGGGGCTCAGTGGCTTTTTGTGCTGGGCTCATCTTGCCACTGAGACCAGGATTTGCCTGGTTTTTAGGCAGCATTCCTTTCTCCTCCTTCTGTCTTTCTTCCATAGAAATGACAACTGGAGTGATCTCTATCTGCTTCTGGACCACATCACTCTATATAGTGAAACCCCTTCTGTCACCTCCCTCAATTCTCTGCATCAGCACCTGCAGCAGAGGTGATGCCCAGCCCCAGCAAACCAGTGAGAAGGGGTGAGTGGTGGCTTCAGAATGGAGGGGTGAAGGACCCTTCCTAGAGGCAATGCCAGGGATGGTGACAGTTATCATGGACTCATAGAATGGAAGAGAACCTACAGCTCATCCAGTTCCAACCCCAAGCCACGGCAGGGGCACCTTCCACTAAACCAGGCTGCTCTAAGCCCCTGTGTCCAACCTGGCCTTGCCCCCATGTTCCATGGGGTGACAGATGACCATTCCCCCTCAATTCAGTTATTGATTGAGATGATCAAGGTTCTCATTCACTTCACTCTAACAGAAATTTGGCTGGATTCCTGTGCCAGCACTGGTTGCTTCCTGGAATGGCACTGCCAGGAGATAACTTGGTCCAATTGCCAGCTCTCATCTTTCACAGCTGCATCCTAAGTTCTGTCTTACAGGGGCTATGACAGTGCTGGAAGGGGAAGTGATCCACCAAAACCCTCCAGCATGGGGCAGTCCTTCCTGCTACAGCCCTGAGACACCCTGCCCGTGTGATGTGGGACAGCAGAAGCTCCTCTTGCCTGGTTTCTCAGTAGATAACAGAAACGAATCCCCAGAGTGCGGTTGACCTGCAGCTGGTGTTTTCTTTGATCTATGTCAGAGCCTATTTATGTCCTCTGCTTAAAACAATCCAGTTCGTGGCAGCAGTAATGAAACTGTGTACCATCCAGCAGCTGTTTGGCTGCTACATGAAATGAGTTTCACTCTAGTTCTTATCAAGCAGAAATCCTTTTAATCATCAAAACTGCCCCAGCCTTGTTGGAGCTGTGATGGTGCAGTGATTCTAACAGGGGAAGGCACATCACAAGCCAGCGACATGGCAAGAGTCCTGAACTGCTGGTGATTTTCTTCCAGGGTCACAGCCACTTTGGACACAGTGAAACCTGTAAATGAGGTCCTCGGGTGCAGAGACCAAACCACTGCAGACAAGGATACCAGCAAGGTTTAATGAGCTCCCAGATGGCCTCTGGTGTTTTCAACGCAGTTTCACTGGTGGCCTAAGCACTCTCATTACAGTGAAAAGACCAGCAGCCACTTAGACATGTTGATTTTGAAGCCACTGCTACTAATACTGGCAATAGAGCAAACAACAATCGATTCAGGAAAAACCCAAAGAGATGGACTCCAAATCCATGTCTCAGCCCAACGAGTCTCCTAGTGAAGGACTTAACTAAGGAGGCAGTGAGCAGGGATGCTGCACAAGGAGCAGGGAATGTTTACCCAAAGCTATTTTGAATTCATTACAGAGGATGGGAAGAGCTGGGCTGCTCCACTCAGGGACCCAGCATGAGGCCACATAACCTGCTCGTCCACCAAGAACTGATGATCACAGCTTGCCTAGCGAGTCCCAGGCACTCTCCACTCGCTGCTTGCAAACAAGCTGCAGACCAAAAGCAATTGGAAGGAATTATTTGGGAAATAATTGTAAATAATGAATGAATGGAGCGAACTGCAAGCTGCTTACAGATAACTCAGCCACAGAAAAGAGCTGGAGCTGCCGAGTAGATGATTCACTATTGATTGTTTCCCCAGATCTAGCTGTAACCTTCTAAAGCATTAATTAAGACAAGTCTTCATAGCTCAGCGTATTCTAATCTGTTCCAGGAGGAAGAGCTCTCAAGAACTCAGCACTGCCCCCCTGGAAGGAGATCTGGAGTTTCACACCCTGCTCCTGGCTCCTGCCTGGATGGGGAGGAAGCTGGGAGTCACAGAGCAGAGCTGAGCACCAGCCCATAACCCAGTGACATCCCAAATAGCTGATGCAAATGTTTCAGCAGGCTTCAAGTCAGAGTCTGTGAGCTCCTGGGTATGGCAGGGGAAGACTGGATCCTACCTGGCTGTTGGCTGGATTTCAACCAGGACAGCTGCCTCTTGGGATAAACCCTTTAAAGACAGCCAAGGCAATCTGGCTATCCCTGTGACGCCTGCCCTTAAATGACCTGTTGTCAAGTCTGCCCTGAAAACAGTATGTAAATGGGTGCTCTAAAACATGTCCCAAAAGGACCCTGTCTGTGTAAGTGCCCCTTGTGCCACCCAGCCCTTCAGAAAGGCCTGGGCTGCTCTCCAGGGCTTCAGCCCTGGCAGCTCCCAGCATCAGCTCCTGTACCCCACAGGATGCCCAGAAGCACAGAGCTCCTGGGGTTATAGAAGGGAAAAGGCACCTGATGTAATCTTTCAGTTATATCAAGTGACTACAGCTGCCACTGCCACTAAATCTGCCAAGCAATGGCAGACACATGTAAATACAAACACATCAGAAACTGATCTGCCCTTCTGCCCGGGCCTGGCACCAGTAGGCACGTCCCACTGACAGGAGCACGGCTTCAGTGTAACTGGGCAAGCCTTCAGCTAATGAAACACAGGATTGTGCACAGCCATGAAAATCCAACAGAGCAATCTAACCCAGGACAGCACAATTCCTGACTCAGACCCCAGGGGAGCACAGCTCATGATGCTGAGGGAAAGGGACAAGTTGTTGCTCTCCAGCTGGGCTCCTGCAGAACTACCGATCCCCAGCCCATCACCCCAGGACTTATGGCACAGCACCTGCAGACAGACCCATGCTTGCCCTCCCCACACCCTGAAGAAACAAGGATGTGATAACCTGGCACCCAACTAAAATGCTCTTTCAACCAGCTGTTTAGCTCAGCATTGCTCAAAGCATGTTTGCATCATATATGGATGACTTGAAATATGGGTAGAGCAAGTTAACATCTGCATTAAGCAAGCATACGATGATTCTTGCTCCCCTAACTTTGTCTCAGAAAGAAAGGCAGTGAAGTTTGAACCAGCTCTGAAATGCAGGCAAACTATAACTAATGGTTTTAGCCCACTTCCATGCTCGTTGTGAACGGCCAGAGCTTTTCCCAAGAGCTGTCCCCAGTTCACATGCATATGGTTTGCCAGCAGAGCCATCAGACTCCTTGCTGCTCAGCACTGTTTGGTGTGGTACACACTTAGCATCACATCATGGTCAAGCCACAACCAGCTGCGTTGCCCACACAGCCTTAATGTGTCCTAGTTTATGAACAAAGGTTAAAAACAAGATTCCAGTAAAAGCCCCTTTCTTCCCCATCAGATGCAATCAGCCACAAGCTGTGTCTGACAGGGCTGAGCTTCAAAGGTAAAGTTAGACTTGACCACTAACCAAGAAAAGATAGCAGGAGAGGAATTAAAAATCCAAATAAAATTGAGCATAATCAGTTGAATTTCAGCAGTATATCTAGATTTTTAACAATTTCAATGCTTCTACAGACTGTTTGGGGCATGTAATGAACATTATTTCATACCAGCTTTGCAAGATAACCTTGTCAAGATTGCAAACATTTGAAATAACCATTTGAAGGGACACGTGGTGCAACATCTGACTTCTCCTAACCCAGGTGCTCAAGCTTAACCCTTCAAGGTGACCACATGGAAGCAGATAACACTCCATGCTTCACAGCTGCATTCTTTTTTATACACACAAATGTGGGATTAACCAGTCTTTCCTGCCCAGTATGTTCATTAAAAGCATATAAAAAGAGGAAGACAAGAAAATCTCAGTAGCTTACTTGAACAGTAACAATACTTCCATCTCTCTGCTGTCGATCTGGTGACCAGCACTAGGGGTCACACACTGCCCTTGTCTCACCACCACCTCATATACAGGTGGACAGCATGGTCACAAGTGATCACTAGGATGTGACCCAAGTCATACAAGCTGCTCTGCTAGCCCTCAGCCAGCCCCATGCATGAGCCCTCATGCCAGCACGAGGGTAGGCTAAGGTGTCTGTTTTGAGCTTGGTTTTGGCTGAGCAATGGACCATGTTAGTTCAGCCCATCTCCTCCCAGTCAGGTCCTGCACAGCTGCATAACTCATCATCAAACATACAAGCAAATATTCCTCAAGGATGTTATTCAAAGCGAAATCCCTACCTGCTCTTGACTCCTTCAAAGGCTGTTTTCTGGTAAGGGCTTATCTGATGGTTTATCCTTTGCTGAAAGACAGAAGAAAACAGAGAACAAATCTTGGTCAAACAGCAGTTTGGTTAGAATGGGAGCAAAGAAGCATTTCATGTTTACTTTCATTAATGTCTACTGCATGGGAAACACGCTTAAAAGCTGGCATAATTCTCTCCACCTTATCTGTTTTTCCATCCATCAAGCTAGTCTCTTTTCATTAGTTCTCTAGGACACATGAACAGATGAAGTTAAAATGAGTAGGTCTCCTTCTTGGTGCTGTTGCTTTCCTCACCTCTCTCCACCCCAAAGTCAAGCCAAATCCTCTGGGGAATTCAAGCAGATTTTCATTGCCATGTATATAATGTGTTCCTCAAAAAAGATCAGAATTACAAACACTGAGTAAGGATGGTCAAGATGATGAAAGACACAGAACAGCTCTTGCAAAAGTGATAGGAGGTGTAAAAAGCACACTTGCGTGCCACTGCAGTCTGCCATGGACAAACCCTGTGTATTGTAGATGCTATTTTGCTTGACTGAATTTCCTTAGTTTGCAAAAGAAGTGCCTTTGCCCTAGGAGCAGAGTGACCTGCATCCATCTTCTCCGTCACCATGAAGTCCCTACGTCTCAATAAGTTTGGTTATCAAGCTTCTGCATTTCTTGGCCAAAGCTGGTTTGGCTGGGGAAGGGCAGAGATGTCAGGAGCCTGCTTGTATGTCCTCTCAGCTAGAGACTTCTATTGAGCTCCTGTGCAGTGCTGACACACTTAGTACAGCTCATGGCAATATAAAACGATGCTGCATCCAATTGTCTTTATTTAAATGATTTTCTAAGGAACCTAGACAATAAAACTTGAAAAAGCTTCACTGGGCTCCCACTATGCTTTATTTAACCCACTTCTAAAACCTAGCAGATTTTATCCTATTATTTGGGAGTGATCCTGTGGAAAAAAGGCACTGCACACATGTGGTGGAATTACTGTCCCTGCAAGTGTTCACACACTGTGTAGATGAGGCCCTCAGTGCCATGGCCTTGGCAGTGCTGGGGGAACAGTTGGACTGGATGAGCTTAAAGGTCTTTTCCAACCAAGTTACCAAGTTGATCCTATGACTCTATGTCCCTCACATGGGACTAGTCCAGGAAAAGCCACTCTGGCTTCTGGCTGAGGACCCTTTTCAGCATACCCTCAACATGGTGAGAACCATCCCAGCAGTTAGCACAACTAACAGTGCTGCCAATGGGGAACATCTAGGCCTAAATCTTTCCATGAAACAAACACCTTGGCATGGGAGTGAGCTTTCTGCACCAGATGGACCCCCTGGGCTCTTGGTAAATCTGATTCTTAGGCTTTGCCACAAAGAGGCTTAAAATTAATTAGCAGATTTTGGTTTTTAAGGAGTTCTATGTACAAGGAGTGTGTGAGAAAGGACATTCATTAGGAGCTTTCCAGTACTTATAGGCCAAGGCGAGGATTTATAGTTTGTGACTGAGTTCCTTTCATAAGAGGCAGTTTCAAACTGTTAATCATCACAAGCAGGTGCCTTGAAGATGAAAACATTCCCTATTTTCCCAGGAAGACAGTCAGGAAGGGGAAGGTTTTCTGAGTCTCTAAAGATGACTACTTTTACCAAAAAGCATCAATCCCTGTCAGTCCCTGTTTCCAGAGAGCTGTCTGTCACCCAGCAGCACTGGGAGGTAGATAAGTGACAAGAGCTGATACATGGTGTACTATGGAAGAGAACCTTCCAACAAGCAAACCAGCACAATGTTCAGCTACTGAGAGCTAACTTGTCTGCTGCTGACTGTAGACAACTGCTGCTATTGTTCTGCAACAACACTCACTGTAACTGCTGTAAAAACTCGCCTAGATGGTAAGACATCTGTCTAGTTAAACCACTCAAAAATATTCTTCAAACATCTGATCCTGTATTATAGAATCACAGAATGGTTTGGGTTGGAAAGGACCTTAAGATCATTCAGTTCCAACCCCCCTGCCATGGGCAGGGACATCTCACACTAAACCATGCCACCCAAGGCTCTGTCTAGCTTGGCCTTGAACACTGCCAGGGATGGAGCATTCATCACTCCTTGGGCCAGCCTGTTCTTAACTTGGGCAGGACGCATCTGCTGTTAAACCTTTTCATCCACTTCAGAGGACAAGAGGAGTTCCCTCAGTGTTGGAAGTGAAGCACTAAGATATCATTGAGCAGTATTTACCACCTGCATCATTGTGTTATGATGTGCCCATCAGCACTTGGAAGAGGAGGAGATACACTAAAAACCATGAACGAGCAGTATGGTGTGGTGCATACTGGCACTTCCTGGTCTTCCTTTTCTGTAGGAGCTTACATGAGAATGGTGGTGCTGTCAGGCTGCTGCATTGCAACAACAACAGTGTTCTTCCAGAGAGAAAAGTCCAAGTTTCTGTTGCATTAGCAATATTAATTTGCTGGCTTCTTTAGTCTTTAGTAAATCCTACAAGTATTAACTGATTTATGTGCAAGCCTCTGGAGACCAAACCTGAACCAAACCAAAGAAGTTTTGCTCTGTCATAAATCTACTCTGCACATACATGACATGGAGCAAAATCCCTGTTGCTGGAAAACATTCTGAATTCATCCTTGCCTTTGTTATGTACTTTCCCCTCTGCTTTGCCACTTCATATTCCTGGGGAATTTCCTTTGGGAAGAGTCTGTTGTCTGTGTTTTGCTGATGTTATTTTGGATCAGCTCTGAGCAGCATCAAGCAGCTCCGTGTTTAAAGCTTGCTTCCATCTAGCTGCTCAAGCAGGCCTAAAAATGGGAAATTTAAGGAGACTTAGACTAGTTCAGAATTATTTCAAGGACTCAAAGAACCAGACAGGTAGAAAATGCTAAGTAAAAAGGACATCATTTATAAAAGAAAAATACTAAGGTTGGTAAACTGGACTGCAAACCTCCTCCTGCCATCCCAGGCTTGGTCTGAGATGACAGAGGAATTTAAATCTTATCCTTTCAATCATGAGAAAGGAAAACCATGTCTTTGCATGACTTGGGATTCCTAGATCTTTGGAAAGAGAAGTTCTCATGAAAAAAGCTGAGTTCTTAGGACAGAAATCATTCCCTTGTCACACTGCCAAACCGCTAGGAAAAAAATAGGGCATGCCTGTAGCAACCTGCATCATCAATATCACTCCACTGACCCAGTTCTTGCTCTCAGTTTTCTATTCAATCCTAATAAAGGTGGATTTAATGTACAATAATGTGAGGATAGCAGAGGTGAGGGTATTTGCTGTAAGGAAAGCATAAAGAAGATAATATTACCAGGCTACACTACATACAGCTATAACTGTTCAAGTATTAAACCCATTTTTCACCATCAAGGGTGCTATCCAGCAGCAGGAGAAATACGACCAGGGGAAAATATCCTTAAAGTGAAGGAATTGATGGTCAAAGCCTGAAAGTTTGGTAAAAAGCTTTTCCACTTCATGTCCTACAAGCTGTCAGCACTCGGATGGAAAACCACAGATCAGTAATTGCAAAGGACAGCTCTTCTTCCTTCCACTGTCTCTGTCTGTAAGGCAAGAGGATGGCGAGTTCATTAATTATCTCCAGCATCAGTTTACTTGAAGATCTTTTCTTCCAGCAGCGCATCAAAGGAGGCTGATAGAAGCTTTGATTAGAGAGATAATGAAGGAAATCTCTAATAGATTATATCATTTCTTGCCCGTCTGCAGCCATTCGCAAACTGGCTGCTTTTACAGGGCTGGGATCCACGCCTGGAAAATATCAGAAGCATGTAAATCCACCTCAAATGCAAAAATCTATGGAAAAATTCAAGTAATTGCATGTTTACCATATTCCTGTCAAGGGTCTGGAAAAAAGATATCAGCTCATCTGACTTGCTATAGAACAGAGATTTTCCACGTGTCCTGTTCAGGCCTCTGATTCCGTGGAGATAATCCACATTTTGAACTCACATCAGACATGGACAGAGAAAATTTATTAGCTAATACAGAGCAGGGCGAGAGCAGAGGCAGGAGGAGAGCAAATGCTGGTGTGTGGGGAGGGGGAGATAGGCAGTTTGATGTCTACCGTTGTGATCTGTCCTAGGAAGCCTTTTGCTAACGACGACCATTAGGAGGGGTCAGATGAGGGCCTTTTTCTGGTTTTCTTTGTTTCTGGTGGTTCCTTTTTTACCTGTCTAATCTTGCCTGCTTTAACCTGCGACACAGCATCTCCCTCAGTGCTTGCTTCAGGCCAACAGGAGCCCTCAAAGGGCAGAGCTGGTTCCCACTGCAGGGGAGGAAACTTCAGTACTGCAGAATCCCAGCTGTCCATCCTTGTGACACCAGGGCCCCACAGTTCTCTGCATTTGAAGTCCCTTGGGGATTTTAATGCCATTTCTCTCCTACCCAGACCATGCACACACTTCCAAATTTAATTGTGAGGAGAAATGAAGTGTCGGGTTCTAATACACCAATGCACTGTGCTGATTCCTATCTCACACAGATAAACCCTGAGCCATTCCTAAGAAGTCCCAGTGGCACATTTAAGCAATCTATTTCTTCTAAGATGAGACTGAAGATTGTCCCCTGTTGGTGTTTGATGATTAATGAACTATTGGAGGCACCAGTTCTGCTGACCCTTGGATGCTCAGGCACCCCAGCATCTTAAGTGAGAGTCTGAGAGAGACACTGTGCTAATGAAGGAATTACTAGTCTCATAAGACGAACACCACCATCACCACGTTACCCACCAGAGCCATCCTCATCTTTCACAGGCATCCCCATCGCCCTGCTCTCATCCTGGCAAACAGGTAACATGAAGAGATGCTGCAGCCCTTGCCCTGAGTCCCTCCTGTCCCCCCCGGCCACCATGAGCAAAAGTAAAGGAAGAGAGTGAGCAGAAAGTGTTTTATGGGGTTAAACGTCCCAGTCTGAAGTAAAGCAATTTCCTTCGGTCTCCTGCCATTTCCTCATGGAGGCTTATCATCTCCAGCTGGGACAATATAAAGGCCCATTTAATCGAGATCCATTTAACACTGAATCACACTAAC